TTACCTTACCTCTGTTGTTTTCAAAAACCTTCTCCTGGGTGCTCTCAATGCAGCAGTCAGGGGTTTTTTTGTCTGATTTTTTTTTTTTTTTTTTTTTTTTTTTTTTTTTTTTTTTTTTTTTTTTACTTCGCAAGTTTCTCCTGAGGCCACCCAGGTCTCTGAGTCTAGTGGTAGAAACTGGGAGAGGGATGCCTGACTTACAAAAAAAGCCAGAATGAGTTAGGGACTATTTAAGTCAACAGGACAAACACAGGACTGTGGAACCGCATGGGCTGCATCCAAAGGTGCCAAGTGTTGGCTGATGCAATTGCAAGACCACCTTGGAAAGATGATGGCAGTCAGGGGAGGCAGAAAAAGGCCAACATCACAGCCATTTTAATGAAGGGCAAGGAGGAGCACACAGGGAACAACTGGCCTATCAGCCTAACCTCAGTTCCCAGGAAGATTATGGAGTTTGTCTTCCTGGAAGCCATGTCCAAGAACATAAAGGATGGGAAGGTGACTGGGAACAGCCAGAGTGGGTGTACCATGGGCAGATTGCATCTGACCACTCTGACCACTTAGGTGGTGAGATTACCTCTGTGAAGAAATGGAGTGCAGTGGATGATGTTCACCTGGATGGTAGCAGAGCCCTTCCCAGTCTGCAACAGAATCCTTCCAGACAAACAGGTAAGAAACAGACTGGATACATGGACTGCAGCTTGTGTGAATAATCTGCTGGACTGCCGAGTTCACAGGGTGGTGAACAGCAGTACAAAATCCAGCTGTCAGGTAGTTAGTTACCCCTCAAGGGCCAGTGTCAAGGCCTGTAATATTTAATATATTAATGACCTGGGTGATGGGATGGAATGCACTCCCACCGAGTTCACAGCCAAGTAGTGAGGGAAACTGCAGGCCAGAGGGGAGGGGAACAAGTCAGAACAGACCTCCAGAGACTGGAGGAAAAAAACCTGACAAACTACAAGAAGTTCAAGAAAGACAAATCCCTGCACCTGGGACACAACAAACCTACACAGTATTACAGCCTAGGCACCAACTGGTTGGAAAAGCAGCTTTGCAGAAACAGACCTGGGGGGCCTGGCAGACACAAAATGGAATATGAGTCAGCAGAGTGCCCCTGCAGTCATGAATGCCATCCATATATCGGGCCATATTAGCAGCATATATTGAGCCATATAAGCAAGAGCATAGCCAGCAGATCAATGAAAGAGATTAATTCTCTCTATGTGGCACTTCTGAGACAGGATCTGGAGTGCTGTGTCCAGTTTTGCACCTCCCTGTACAAGACAGACATGGACATACTGGAGGCAAGTGCAGTGGAGAGCAACCAAGACGGTCAGAGGCTGGAGCAGGTGATGTACATGGAGAGAGGCTGTGAGAGCGAGGTGTGTTCAGCCTTAGGAACAGAAGGCTCTCAGGGGATCTGACTGTTGTCTTCAGCTACTTAGTGGAAGGGTATAAAGAAGAGAGAGCCAGACTCTTCTTGGAGACATGCACTAAAGAACAAAGGACAACAGCTATGAGCTGCAATAAGGGAAATCTTTTTCACCATGAGGGGTGTAAAGCCCTGGAATTGGTTGCCCTGGAAGGTTGTGAAATCTTCCACCTTGGAAATATACAAAGCTTGACTGGACATAGCCCTGCTCTGGGTGATCTTGCTTTGAACGTGAGGTTGAACTAGACAACCTCCAGAAGTTACAACCTCAACTGTTCTGTGATTCTAAATGTCCTTGCACAGAACAGAGGAGAAAAGGAAAACAACACCAGAATTTTCATCAAACTATATCCCAGGTTGTCACCCTTGATGTTCTAGTAGGGTGAAACACTCGCAGGGCTTTTGCTTCCTTCTATCTGGGCATGCAGACTATACCAATGTTAAGGAGTAAAAACAGATAGGCCCTCCAAGTCTGAAGGAGTTCCTGGATAAGAACTGTGAGGAACACAATGGAAAACAGAAAATTAAACAGTAAAGTGCAAATATTTGCAAACACTTTCTCTTCGTAGCAGAGACTTTAACCATTACAAAGAACAGTTGTTGGCAATTTTTCCCCTCATATATTTGAATTCTAATCACTAAAGAATAATATTTCCCAAATTAAAAGAAATAATCTTATATTATCCTTTTAAATTCTGTTAAACTAACAGTTTATGCCAAATGAGAAAATTGAACATCCTTTGTTTTTTTTTTTGTTCAAAAGCTGCTTTTAGAGTTCAGGTTAGTGTTGAAGTTTAGATTCAGAGGAACTGAAAATAAACAACAGTAAAAGCCTAGAAAGAATCATTTAGAATGTTTCTATAAAGAAATAAATTCCAAGAGTAGAAGCAAAAAAAGTCAGACATGATTTCTTCCCTCTTGTCATCTGTTCTCTACTACTCCTGTCACACAAAGCACAGGAGAGGAGAGCCTGACATGATATCTGGAGATTTTCCAGGTGACATCAAAATATTGATTGTACACCACATTTGTCAAGACCCTGCCAACACAAACTATCTCAGGAGAAAATGCAGAACATCCGAGTTGTAATGTTGAGGGGTAATGTTTTGTTAAGGTTTTTAATTTCTACAAGCACCAGTCACAGAATAAAGAATCTACTACTGTGATAGGCACTGTACATTCAATTTTGCCCCACTACTATAAACATTCCATATTATGTCTACACATAAACACTGCGTCAAAAATTATTACCATACATGCTGGGGTTTTTGCCAGTATCTACATGAGATACCTTCAGTTAGCACACAAAGCCCCATGCATCTTATGACTGCCCTATAGTTAGGTCCTTTCATTTAGCTGATGCACAGCAGCATCAAAAAAGCTACAGTCTGCTCCCACAGAGTTCTACAATAATCTCTAATGGTCAATCAAGCTGTGTTCAAAACTGGCAAAAACTATTCTGAGCACTCACGAAGAGAGGATGCAGAGGAAGTCCCACGAAGAAACATCTGCAAGCCATCCTCGCTGTCACTGGTACTGGCCATACTGTTTCTCATCTGCATCACAGACAGCTGAGAGCAGAGACTAGGCTGTCGATCAATCTTTTTTGAAGCCTAAAGAAAGAAAAAAAAAATTATTTTTAAAAATGTCAGGCAAATTAAAATAAAATGGAAAATGACTAATTCCCTTGCAGTAGATGCTCTGGTCTCAGGTATGATTATCCAAGAAACTTGCTAGAGCAGAAGACTCTATGCAGTGTACATCAACTGGAATGAAAATAGAAAATGCCAGTAATATATTGGAATTGGAACTCTGACAAGTATGAAGCCTCACATTAATTATTCAATTTCAATTTAGTTTTGCACTGGAACTTTCATGTGTTTTCTTACAGAAAGAAGAAAAAGGAAAGATGAAGGGAAAAAGGAAAAAAGGCAAGGTGAGAAGGAGTGTGCAGAACAGCAGTCTCCAGGAGAGAGCAGTATCCCAATACAGTTCTTAACACATATAGGAGGCACATTGCTGCATATTCCTTTAAGGTGCCATACTCCAGAAATTACTTTCTGCCTACGTATATACGAGTTTCATTATAGAAAATTCCCCTGTAAGTCTTTTTTTATTGCAAAAAAAAAAAAAAAGCAGGTTTAACACATGCTTTATAAGATGTATTTTACAGATGGTATATTTCTACTAGATCATTTGGCCTTACTGCATTAGTAAATTAAAGCAGTGATCTGAAATACTTTTTAGTATTTGACCGCAAGGTGGTGTAATCTATTTAATTAATCAAAAAGCAAATTAAGCAGTGCTTTATTGCTATTAAATTGTCTCCCCTGCCATTCTTTCTTTTCTCTTTCTATAATCAGTATAAAATTGAGAAAACTTACAGAGTCTAATTAGGCATAAAGACATGACAAGTTAAGCCTGTTGAAGTCTGTAGTAGTGGCAGTCATTCCTTTAGGATAATTTTCAATCAAATTCACAACTTTGCAGATGTAACTGTTTAACCTATATACAAGTTACCTAAAGGTAATCTGATGAGAAGGATTTTTGCTCTAAATTAATCAATACAGACAGAATACAAAAATACTGTATTATAAAATTATAAAGCCTTCCATAAATGATGATGAAGATTCTTCAAATAAATTATATATGAGAACCTTACAACCAGTACATGAATAATAAACAAACAAACAACAACAAAAAAAAAACCCCAAACTGAAAAACCACCAGCAAACAAGTTACTGTCCAAATCTTGTAAAGTCACATAACTATATAAGGAGACAAAATGAAACTAAAACAAGATAATATATCTATGACTACACCTAGACCACTTACCCGGACACCTAAAACACACTCTCTCTACAGGCAAAGAATGAGTTCTATTCAGACCACTTAATATTCTATATGTATTCACATTTATTTATATTTTATACATATTTCATGATTCCTTTAATTAACTGCATCATATTCATATAATGTTTGCTTTTTTTTAAATTTGTATTTTCAACCCTCAAAGATGTTGAAATTATTCTTCCTAGAAATCAGTATTACATAGATGTTTCCCCTAGTAAAAATTTTTTAAAGAAAAAACTCAGAAGCTTCTTTGTACAAAGGCACCCATTTGTTAATGAGAAAGGATATCCAGGGAGAAGCACCTTTGTAGCTAGTGGTCATCATGTCTAACAGATGACTAGAAATATTTGCACTAGCCAATCAGTTTTTAATCTCTGTTACTCATCTTTCATGTACCTGACTGTGCAAACTTTAACAAATATTGCTTTTGACAGAAACACTGCACTGACTCACATCTTGGCACTAAAAGGCCATGAGAGTGCATTCAGCAGCTGACAGAAGCAGGTTAAAAAAAGGTGCTTTAAGAACATGTAAAATTTAAGTAAACACACATTTTGTGTGGAAGAAAAATTCCCAAACAAAACTCCAATTGCTTACCTTGTCATTTAAGGTTGGGTCGTTCAATGAATAGAGTTTATTTGTAATATCTTTGCCAATAAGGTACTTGAAGATCTCATAAAGAAATGGCTCAGACTCTAGAAAATAAGTCAGCCTTTCCCTGGACCAGCACAGGAACTTGCAGTTATCGTCTGCAATAATAGTGACCTGAAAAAAAAATACATGCTCAGAATTAGCACGTTTAAAAATGTTTTAAGATTAGCACATTTAAACATGCTTTAAAATAAGTGATACCATTTCATTTGTGTCTCCAGTTAAAATAACTGTTAAAGCCATAAAACTTTTTGGTATCCCTTAGAATGTTGTGTTTATAAATATAAAAAAATCTCAGATATTTATTAACATTGTATTTTTCACTGATATGTACAGCCAGTTTGTTTTTCAGAAAACCCGGGGGGGTGTAACAGGAGAAAAATCTCTCATGGGTTCCCAAACTGTAAAAGCATTTATGTAAGAGGAAATTTACATATAAAGTCAGTTCTATGGTGATGACACTACTTGAATCCTAATAGGCCTACATGTTGCTTGGGTTTATTTTATGTCTCCAAGCAGGAGCAACTTGTATCATCCAAAGGTCTCCATCAAAGAATTTTTAGTGATTAAAAAAAATAATTTTCACCTTTCTCTCTTCGCTGTCATCCCTGTGGATCCCACGAGTACCACTTTCCAGCAGTTGAGTTAAGCAAGGCTCTGTTTGCTCAGTTATTGGTAATTCAGTTATGGGTAGTTACAAGAGAGCTTGCAGCCCCTCATGGGAGGCTGGACCTGCCAGGTTTGTCCCCCTGTGCCCTCAGAGGGCAACAGCACACTGAAACCCACACCACCTGGTGATACCCAAAGGCACGTTTTGAAGGGGGAAGTCAGTCGCCTACAAAGAAATCAGGTGCTCTCTTCTATTACAGGATAACACAACCTCCTGAAAAAATTAAAAACCTATAAAGTCCAAGAAATAATGGGAAACTGTCACGTATCCATGGATTTTTTACTTCACAATCTGTAATGTAAGCCCACTGGCTGAGGAAGAATTCACCAGCATTGCCAGCAGATGGGGTCCTTAAGATTGAATCTGTGTACTCTTGAAATGGCAGCAGTGACAGTATTAATACGGCAGCAACGAGCAGAACTCACGAGTAAAGGATGTGCATTGCACCAGATTGCAATCATTTTTAAGGAAGGCAGCAGTTGAGGCATGAACCTTTTCCCTTGAGAGGGATGAACTCGTATTCAGTCCCTTACAGGGAAAACAGGCTGTGTCAAGAGGGCAGCTGTGCTGTGGGACACCTCGCTGCTGCAAAATGAATGCATCCCCTGGCATTAAGCCTAGTATTTGACTGGAACATATGACCTCAATCCCTGATTTTAGAGTCTACATTGCTCTCCCTCCCTCCCCTTCTGCCAGGGTATCAGTGTGGATGTACCCAGTCGGACACCGTCCAGCCATTATTACACACATCTAACTAAAGAACATCAAGTAAGACACAGCAAAATAGTCATTTCTATGGGGAAAAAACCCACTTCTCTAACAGTATTTCCACACGCCCCCATAAGGCTATAATAAAATATATCCTTTAATGCACTAGCATAATTACACTGCTAGAGACACATACCCTTATTGTCCCTAATATGAATATTTTTATTCAAAATACTGAGATAACTTTCAGATTATGCTGCTTTAACAACTTGCAAAATGGCAGAAGCATTAATATGCTTTGATAAGTACCAATTTCCAATTACCAGTGCCTGAACTTTTAGTCTTTCATTATTACAATAATTATTTTTTTTCTGTTTTTGAACCAGTGACAAGACCTGCTTATATCATCTCTCTGTCCAGCAAAGCCACCTCTTAAATTATTTGTCCTGAACAATCTCTTAAAATAAAATGAACTTGGAAACAGTAAAGGAGAGCAGAACAGCAAAAGTCAGACTGCTCAGTCAACACCATCATAATACTGTTTTGTGGCATTTAATTTTAAAAGTTATTCTTGATATGGTTCATTGTCAAACACCAGTACGAGAAAGTCAGCAAAACTGTGCAAGTCAAATAGTTCACTGCTGATCAAATTTATATTCTGGCTTTTTTAATGATCCCATCATCTCAAATCCAGTGACATTTAAAACAAAGTGTACCTGGAATTTCTCACCCCGGTTCATCTGTGTTGATCGAAATTCAGGAGAATCTATAAAGGCACAGGGGTAAATATTATGCAGAAAATGCCCTCGATAAGACACCTTCATTCTGGAAATAAAAATGTATGAAACAACATTTTAAAATCATGGAAGTTTGATTAATTTCATCTAAATTTGGATATGATTGTTGACAACGGTAAAGCAGTATGCAACAGGAAAAAAATACATTCATCTTCTGGAATATCACACCCAGAGCTACCCTGTTTTCTGCCTAAACCTCCACTGATTCCAAGCATAACAGGCTGCCAGTCAAACAGAGATTTGACGAACATGGCGTGTATCCTCAAAACACTGTTATCCAACAAGAAAAAGGTGTTTTGCAGAGTTATGCTATACAGCCAGAAGAGAATTTAGGCTTCTTTTACATAGCTTTGTGACAATGAGTAAGAAAAACAATGAAGCCTGACATCACTGTTACTGTCAAGAGAAACTGGTTAAAATATTGACCCGAATTTAATGTGAGTTTCAAGATTACAGCTTGGCCACTGGTATATATTTTATCCTTTCTCACCTGGGTTCTGTCAGCCTCTGGGCAGTGCACCTGCCCCTGTCTACTTGCATGTACATGTGCAATGAACCAATTCTAATAGGCCTGCTGTTTTAAATTCTACTGGAGGGATACTTTTCCTTCCCTCATGTACAATATTTTTTAACTTTAAAAACTGAGAATGCACTGAGAATATAACTTAGGTATCTAAAACTCAGACAAAACTCTTGCTTGTTCTGCAAGACATTGCCTTTGGTTTTATACAAATATAATTCCCACTAAAATCCATGCCACTGTACATATAGGTGGATACATAATATGCTTCCAGTAAGAGACATCACTGTCATCTGAAAAGAGCATCACAAAATATTCTATACCTATAGACTATTTGGCTATAGACTCTTTGTCATAGAGCATAACATGCTACAAACAGTAACATTAAAAAAGCTAACAAAAACCTCAACAATTTTTTAATCTATTCAACCATCACACAAAGCGTAAGACTGTCCCCAAGCTTTTATAGAACCTACTTCCCCTTCAGCAGGATGCTTAGCCTATCATCAACCGATGTTTTATCTTCTGCTGCATAGGCTTGCCCTGTCTTTAAAGTCTGAATGTTGCAGAATTGTCCAGTTAGCCTTTGGAAGAGCTCTGGAGGCACATGGAGAGGTTCAAACATTCTCTTGTAGAGGCTGCTAAGTTCCTTCTCTATCTTGATCTAGATTGGATAAACAAGAGACACTGATAAACACAGATGCAGTTAAAAAAGGGTAAGGCTGCACACATGCTTTAGTTGCTATGCTTGAGGAACATCTTTGGCTTCATTTTGCTTAAGCAAGGAAAGAAGTGGCAAATGTGTGACATCTATCCACAAACACTGCCTATAACAGGGTAACCAAAACCTTATCTAAAATTAGCCAGGTTGGCATACAGGTGCTTTAGAATGGTGTTCCATCCAAGTGGCACATTAAATCAGACACAAGGAGTCTTCTGAGACTTCCGTTGATGTAACACTGAATAGGACTTGGGCAAGAATTACACAGATAGCCTTTCACACTACATACGTGCGTCACTCTGGTTATCTCTCAGGCTCTCCCAGGAGCCCCTTTCATCCCTGAGCTTCTTGGCTTACTTACAGTAGAAAAGCAAGTCCTGAAAAACAAATCCATCATATTGAAACCACATGCAATGAGGGAAGAAAAAAGAAAAACCAAAACACTGCCAGCTGAACATCCCACATCTAGGAGCCCACCCAAACTCTGGCAACCGCAATGAGGGAAAGGAAGTTGGCTGAAATCCCAAGCCTGGAAGTCTTTCCTGAATGAAGGCAGGGATTAAGACAGTATCCTGGCCTTCCTGAAAGCTGAGGCAGCCTGAACAAAGCCTGCATATTTGCTGTGAAGAAAACAAACTAGAACAATAAGCATCAGATAATGAAGAAACAAAATACAAAGAGAATAAGGAAAAGCAACCAAGAAAAAATGGCAGAAGAGGCACATTTCGGGCTCATGTTCAACTTTTACTTCAGGACATGCAGGTCTTTTTCTACAAAGCTGCTTTCTAGCTGGCTGGTCTGTGGCATATGCTGATGCATGCGGTTATTCCTCCTCAGGTGCAGGACTCTGCACTTTTTGCTGAACTCCACGAGGTTCCTGTTGGCCCATTTTTCTAGTCTGGTGAGGTTTCCCAACCTTCTGGCCTATCAGCTACTCCTCCCAGTTTTGCATCATCAGGGTACACATCTGCCCCACCATCCAGATCATTAATGAAGATGTCAAACAGGACCTAGCACTGGCCCTGAGGTTACACACTGCTAGTGCACACACCACACACTAGTATATATAATACACACCTCCAACTAGACTTCTTACCCCTGATTACCACACTTAGCCCAGCCATTCAGCCAATTTTCAATCCATCTCACTGTGTCCTTATCCTGCACACACTGCAACAGATTTTCTATCAGGATTTTACAGGACATAGTGTTGAAAACCCTACTGAAATTAAGGTAGACAACATTCACTATTTCCTTCATGCACTTCTCTCGGTCACTATGATTATTCCAAGACTATCAAGAATAGCCTCCCAGTGACATCAGCTCTTGTAAGTGTGTGTCATTAAGGCTCATGGACCTACTGTGTCCAGTATGTCACATGATCTAAAGTTAGACTGCTTTCACACTGAATCAATTACTAGTTAAATCTCACACCAGCAACTACCTTTATATGAAATCTAGGTTAGGAATTTCCTGCACATTCCCTGTGCCACAGTCTTTAATATCTCAGCAGACATCTACACATACAAAACAAGGAATAAAAATTAACCAGCAAGAGAAACTGTATTCTGCTGGGGATTGTCCTGAACTATTGGATTTCAAAATATGTTCCCTATAACTGTGAAGCCAGATGACTATTTGTTTTGCTGGCATGTTCTCCAGGAACTCTTTCATTTTTAACAGCTTACCAATTTAATTTGCACCTCTTTCTATACATGACCACTGCAACTCAAAGAAATACATATCTTCATCTGAAAAAGGAATCTGAGTAGCTTCCAAGACTCCTGAATTCATAACCATGCAAACAGACATGAGGGCAAATTTTGGCCCTGGAGTGTTAATGCAATCCCTTAACTAGTACATAATTCACATTTTCTGATCTTCCTGTAATGAATAATACTTAGAGAGAGCAGGCGTAACTACTTTCTTAAAGACTGATCAGGCTGGAGACTGTAGCTGTACTTTGGATGGTCTCCCTTATAACAGACTATTCACTCACAGGCACGCTGACTGCTCCTCCAGTCATGCTTGTGGGTCATATTCCAAATGAGCCATATGGGTAGGTGTAGTGTTTTGTTCAGCAGTGGTTGAAATGTTCTGGGGTGATGCCAGATCTCCAAGTCAGACACCGATTAGACTCAGCTTCCACTCAGACTACAAAAGCCAAATTTGTGAAGCTCCAAGAAAACAAAACCACAGAAATAGTCTTCTGGTCAGAAAAGAAACCCACTGAGATTTTGCATGCTCCATTTAATAAAATAAATATTTAACAACTGAGAGTATCAATTATTCATTTTGTAATACGACTAACTTGTAATTATTCTTCCATTCCTTTCTTTCCTTAAAAACATTATTTGTGAGGATGACCAAAACTGACTGAGATGGGCAATACAATAGCTGCAGAGAGAAAGTCTCCCTCAAAAATTAGTTCTTAAGAATTTTAATTTTTTTTCCCCATTCTTTATCTTCCTGTAGGAAAAAACACTTAAAAACAGCCTTTGAGTTCATAGTAAACATGTAAGACAGTTAAAAAGTCATGCATGACTACTAGGCATCACTTCAAGTAAGCTTGTTGATCATAGTCTGTAACAAAGATTCATATGATTTTTTTAAATAATTACTGAAAGTATTATGTATTACACCAATTAAAATACTACAGTATTTTTCATGCAGTGTTCATAAATACCGTGATTTCTTAGTGGAAAGAAGACTATTGAAATTAAGTCTTAATATACTAAGAAACAGCACTACATGGCCAGTCTATCAGAACTAATTCTTGACTAAGCTTTTAAGTTGTACAGGTCATGTAGCTCTTTTGATGGTAACCTTCAGGTGAATCTGTGCTCCATACTGGAGGAACAGTACTGTAGGTAAAGCCTTTGTTAACACATATACTCAAGTAAATGTACTCAATTTATCACCTTGTTGTAGACAGATGCAATTTAACCTTCATCCTCCTTATATATGCTGTGGTTGCCTACTGGAGTTTGTCCTGCAGTTTTCAGTCACGCTGGTAAAGATTTCAGTCTTTCTACCATCTCTTCCATTTCCTTTAAATTCTTCCTCCTTTGGCAGCTTGCTCTGCCTCTACTTAAGTTGAAATCCTCAACGTGCACAGTATTTTAGTACAAGTCCAAAGTCTATTTTCCTACATTTCCTCTATCACTTTCTACTGAGAATTCTAGTTTATTCTGTGTAAGAACAGTTTTGCCCCACGTGCATATGGCACACAGTCTACGGGAGTGCCAAGTACCTCAGTTCTGCTGTGGTTACATTGCTAATGGGCAAGGGCTACAGAAACACAAAGAAAAGTTAAAGGTCCTCCAATTTAGGTCCTCCAATTCCTTCTCTCTTAGACGTAATTTTTTTTACAAACTTCGATGACTGAGTTTATCAGTCAAGTGTCATGTCCTTACACAATTCCTTCTTTTTAAATCCACCTATAGAGTAGGACTTCTACCACTTAACCTAACTCCTACAAATAATGCTGTTAATAAATTTACTACAGGATTTAGTGAAAATAGCTGTCTCTTCAATAGGATGAAGTCTATACTATGATGCACAAAATACCCCAGCCTATGCAAATACAGCTTTTAGTAGACAATTGTAATTACAGAAGAATGTTTCTTTCTTCATTCAGTATTGATTTACACATTGTAAAGTAGTATTTTTTTTACTCAAGCACAAACCAGCACACCATCCTCCTGAGATGCTTCTTCACTCTCCCACAGCCTTTTATTTAGATTTTTGGAAAGGGTTGGATAGGTATGAACCCAAGGACCACTACCCACATTTAAAGATGCATGTCACAACTCACTTTTAAATAAGTTTTAAGGCTTGGTTTTCTCCAGAAATGGATTTCTATTAGCTGTGCACTCCAGCCTTTTGCAAGAATTTCTGACATTGTTGGCCAGTTCCTGTGCCATCTGACAAGATGCTAGAGGCCTAAAAATGATACTAAAAGGCTCAGTTGGTGAGCGGGTTGAAGGGGAGCAGGACATGCTAACTTGGCTGGGGGAAAAGACTGCAACATGAACTTGTCCCATATTAAAAACCAGAGTACCTGCATGGGATATTTAACTGCAGACACAAACACAGTCTGGCCCCACTGGTTCTGCATTATCACAACTGCTATTTTGTGTGTGCATTAGACAGCATGGTCATGGCCGACTAGCAGAAATACAGTGCAGTTTCATCATATGCTGTATCTTAATGATGATATAAATGGATTGAATAGGCTAAAATAATAGCATTAGCAACACAAACTCAAGAGGAACTTCCCTTTCAACTGGTAAGATTACTCTCTGAGAGCAATTTAAACCAGAAATATTTACTACACATCTACAAATGTCTATCTAGTTTTAAGCTATCTCCTGGGCAAGACAGAAGTCAAGCATCATGCTGCTATGCCAGGAAAGGAGCAAGGTGCTAATTTCTTAGCTGCTTTCTGGCACAGGCTGTGTTGACTTGGTGAAGAGCTTATTTCCAGCTAGGCTGGCTTTGGGTTCTTTTGGTACTAGCTGTTACACACTTCCAGAGTGTGTCTCTGGAACATAAAAGTATTCTGCTGGAAATGAGTACCAGTTCATTGGTTTGCCTAGCAAACATGGGCAAAATTTCCTTTTCTTGCATCTTACTAGACTGCTTGTGAAATTTAGCTGTTATACATACCGGTCGTCTTTTATACACTAGGTATATGAAATGTAAAAGGTTGACAACCAAAAACACAGAGTTCCAGATCATTATGTCCAATGCACAACGATAGAGTGTAGCCCAAATGATGAACAATGCACATCCTGTAAAAATTTAAAAAAAAAAAAAAGTTAATTCCACCAAACAAACATTCCTACAAAGCCATCAAGAATGCGTCCACTGACCATAATTACAATGAAAAGCAATATATCCTACAAGCTGTACTACACTTTGGTTCTTGGGATCATCGCATGCAATGGCAGCTAATCAGCACAACGCTGCAAACAGGCACTGAGAGTAGGTTGATAGCATGGGAGTGCAATACTGAAGCGACAGTAATTCAGATCAGGACTGGGGAAAGCAGAAAGGTGCAGCCCATGATGATCCATTACTAAAATGAAGTAGAAAAGAGATGTGGAAAATTCTACCCTAAATAAGAGAAAAAAATAATTAAGAAACTTTATCCCTAGCATTGAATTAATTAGACGAACAAAAGCCTACAAATGAATGCTTATTGTTCATATTACTAACCTTCGTATCTAATTAGAGACCAAGAGTTGCATAAAAACTTCCTAAAGTCATACGCAGATATTTTTGAAAATTAAAAGGAACTATCACTGCAGCATTTTGACAAGGTCACAGAAGGAACCTGTATAAAGGTTCTATATACAGAGCTTGTATAAAATCAAAGAGAAAATTTCTAAACACTTACTCTTTTTTTAGTTGCCTTACTTTGAATAATGAACATTGCTCTAAAAGGCATGCTGTATGATTAGCAATTCCATTTTTAGCCTACAAAGACAATATTTATCAAATGATAGATTATGCATCAGTGAGTCTCTCCCAGATAACTGTGAGCCTACCAAGTGATCACAGATATATTTTCCTTTAAGTTTCACACGAAGACAAAAAGGAGACAGTGCCAAGTTGAGTGTTCCTGTCCCCATTCTCCCTGAAGATGATATTGAATTAATGAACTCAGTATTATCTAGTCTGTCTGCACTGTTAACTGATGAGGCAGCACTTACACACGGATTAGAAAAATCAAAATATAGTGGCTTTCAATCTGCTTATTAATTAGACTGCAAGGGATGGGAGAATACGATGTCTGCAAGTATTGAAGAGGACCAATATTTCAAAGTAGCACACAGGGGGACAGGGTCAAAGCAAAGGGAACAGATACCTAGGAACTCATGCTGCCTACCAAGCAGACTTGAAACCTGCTGCCACTGCAGCTTGCAAAACTCTGATTCAAGATCTGCTCAAAATACCACAAGAACTACAGATCAAAGCAGCGGGCTCAGCAAGTGCAGAGCTCCCTTTGGTTTTAAAGCCAAGCACTACACAGATAAAAGGTCCTGCAATGCTGGGACCTTCAGTCATCTGTGCAGTTTATTTTAATAAGTTACCCTATAAAAACTATAAAACAGAAAAGGCAAGATCATTGTAAATTCAACAATAGAAGTTCTATTATAAAATTGGCCTGCACTATTACACCAACAAGCACTCACTTAAAAATACTTAAGCACTCTCTTGTTGGATGGGATGTATCTTTCTTGCACTGTAATGACTCACTATTCCTTCTTTGATCACAAGGATCTTGTCCCACACAAGGCAGAGGGGCTTTGAAATAGCTGTGGGACTGCAAGCGTTACAAATGAAACCACACTTGCTCAGTCTCAAGCATGCCAAATTTAAGTTTTCCTCTCAAGTCAAATTCTGGTATCACAAGATTCCTACAGTGGTAGAAGAAACGCTACTGACTTCAGAACACAGACTGCACTCCCTATCAAAAGGTAAGCTGGCAACAAAAATAACTCTGGTGACCCGCAAGTGCCACATGTTTGAACTCAAGATAAAAGAACATGTGGGCTGACAGCAAGCTTCTCAAGGAAAACCTCACCTTCTGCAGACATACTAAGCCAGTGCACCAGCCAATATATAATCCCAGCATTTCCTTGAAACCTAAAATAAAGGCTTTAATGATCCATAGACACAACTATGACCTGAAATTTAGTGAATTTTAAGCAGCCAGTCACATCTGAAGTTAACGGTGTCCACTTGTTTCCAAGTTGACATATTCATAGGTTTGAAATTTTAAGTTACAATTCTGGGAAGTTTTAAGAGCCAAGGGTTGTATCATCTTTCCAGAAAAGGTATGTTGGGGTCAAAACGGGCCCCCACTTAGACCAAAACCATCTTCAGAGTACAACAACCATTAATATAGGCAGTAATTTCACCATAAATTGCAGGGACCAGCTCCATAATGGTCAAGAACAGCCATTTCTGTCACAGGAAGGTTGCAAATCTGTCCAGAATAATTCTCCTACCTATGGTGAGCAGGCCTCGCAGAAAAATCATATGAAGATTCAAAGTAGTTGGAATAACCAGTCCAACTGCAAAGCAAATATTTGCCACGTGGAAAACAAGATGATGAATCTCTTTCCAGTTTTCACATGCAGTATCATTAAAAGGCTCAAGGGTGGCATTTTTAAAGTCTGGAACAAAACCTAGTGGGGTAACAGTGAGTGGGCTCATTGCTGTAGTATTCATCTTGGAGACACCTGTGCGGAGAGGAAAAAAAAAATCATCATGCATTAAACTGAAATATAGTAGACATACTTATGTATTTTAGGGCTATTTTCTCTCTTTCCAGGATATATTTTCCATTACCATTCATGAAAAATAAATCTACAAACACTTTAAAAAGGTAAGCTAGATCTATAGTTCAGTAATGCTTTGCTATCTCTTTCACTTAAGAGCTAGGCTTGAAGAATTGAACATTTCAAAATTTGGACTATATGCACATAATCAACAGTAGCTGCTATGACTGTCATTGCTAAGGAAACATCCTATGTGCCCTTCCTAGCCCTACGCAAATAAAAATCACAATTTAATATTCCATTTATTGAACAGGTCCACTATCCTAGGCAAAGTAAATACCTTAGAGAACTTAACCTAGATGGGAATTAGAAAAGAAAAACAAAGAAGAGGTTTATGTAGCATTAGTCTCTCTTACGGCACATAAGTCTCCTTTATGGCATTCTTCTAAATAAGCAATGTAAGATCTTGGAGGAGGAACATGTGCTGTTTGATTGATTTAAAAAAAGTCAACCAACCATATAAAAATCAAAATCAAAGAACCTCAACTTTTGGCTTTCTTGCAGTAAACTTGGAGGTCTCCTAAGCCATGCATCATCTTGCACACATTAACCAGAGTACACAAAACACCCCCAAACCACTTTGAGGACAGTAAATAAAAACCCCACGATTTCTCTTCCCAGATGATCAGATGCTATTAAACCAGAAAGGGAGATGACCAGGTTGCTACATCTTTTAAGGAAATAGTTTGGTCTATCTAGTATGAGCAAGCTTACAAGACCTTTGTCTGTCTGTGGAACTCCTGGAGAAAAAGAGACAGTTAAAGACTATTTCGAATCTAAATATACATAGGGGGTTTTGTTGTTGTTGTAATAATAAAATATAGCATATATTCTTCTCACACCAATTAAAAGGAAAAAAAAATATCTGTGGGCAAATACCTTGCCAATATAAAATAAAAAATTACTATTAAAAACAAACTACAAGGAGAACATAGAAGATTTCAAGACACTACCTTCAGAATCTTAAAAGCTGCTCTCTTTAGGGAACTGCAGTCAATGTTACAAGCATTCCAGGAGGTCTTCTCCTGGAAACAGTTCCCACAAAACAGTTCCCAGCTGGAGGAACACGACTGTTCCTAGACAGACTGTCAGAAACACAGGAGAACCCTTCTTCCAGCAAGGCACATATGGTATCTCACTGCCACAGCAGTAGAGATCATATGGAGCTGAGCTTGAGTCTCATTAATGAAATATATGCACTTCATCACTGAGCAAACATGCAACACGGTGGGATTTGCATTCAACTAAATTCTGTAGAGACAGTGCACATCCCTGCTGTGTGTGATTACTAAATGTCTTGCAATTACTCTGCTCAGCAGACAATTCTGAGTTGCAGTTAACACAGTTAATATTTCCTCTAGACTTGAATATACTCTGAAGCATCTCTGCTACTTGAGAGTGCTTCTTGGGGCTGTGAAGCAATTTTGAGTTGCTTCATCCATTCCTTTTATTATTGTCTCCCAATCAACCTGTGTACAAGGGATAAGCAAGCTGGACAGTTTCTGAAATTAATCAATGTTTTAAATCCCTTTTAAAATAGTGGGAAGAAAAAAATCCTCAACCCTCTCTGACAGTTTCTCTCCAGTGCCCAGAGGCTCTCACAGCTAAGGTGTGCTACAGAATATGCAGAGGCATCTTGCAGGATCAAACACTAGCATGGACACAGTGTATCCATATCTGGATTTAAATTATTTTCAAAGACAAAAAATTAGATAACTCTTTACCAAAATACATAATTCACATTTCTTAAAAGATCGCTTTCCTCTTTTCATTCCTACATTAGTTATTCACAAATATTAATTAGAATGTGGGGTTTTGTCAAACAAAGTGTACACTTAACTGTTATCAAAATCAGGTCCATACAAACACAGTCCTACTGTCTTTCAGCTCTTCCAAATGAATTCATCAACAGAATCAGGAGAACAGTTTCACTGTCCTGACAAAGACACTCACACAGAGAGCCAAAGTGTGAGCCTGTGCGAGGCTGCAGGACTGGCATTTTAACACGCTTATAAACAGAAGGCAATTGCTAACTGGATAACTATGTCTGTGCTCATCTCACACACATCTCATCATGGTGCTCCCGTTGTTTTCAAACAATATAAACTCCCTACACTGGAACAGCAGGATCCCTAGATCTTTTACGAAAAGTTTTCTGCTGAATTTCTACCTATATTCAGCCTTTCACTGCCCAGTCATCCGCCAGTAAAGGCACCACTTAATGTGCCAACAGAACAAGTAAAGACAACCAAACTCACATACAGACATAGAACCAGCCTAAGTCCTTCAACTCAAGATCAAAACAGGCTGCAAGAAGCAACTTCAGCTGCATCTGATCATAAATCAAAGAAGCCTTCTGGATGCTTGATTTTTTTAACAGCAAAATTTTGCACTACATCACTGTGAGAATCGAGGCTACCTTACTCTTTTAAGACTTGGCTGTAAAGCATCACACATTTGAAGACTGGAAACCAAATGAGCCAAATTAAATATACAGCACAGGACAATCTCATTCTCCTCCCAGCCCAGCAAAAACACTGCTCCCCTTGCTCTTCACATTTACTGATGCCTCAAACCACCAGCCATAAAGTGCTGTAATGTTTCTCCAACAAACATAGACCAAGCCATTTAAAGCATCTGCAGTTGTAAGAAGATGTTCAATGCTTCTGAAAGTCTGGGCTACCTACTTAATTACCTAAATTACAACCCAGGAACCTAAATCTACCCACCTCCACTTTTTTAATAAGCTGTTTTTAATACCTCAAAGCCTTTATACGAATGCATTCAAACTTCACTTACTACTCAGAAACAATGACTGTAGCTCCCCTAACGTACTGGAAAACAACAGAAACCTGCAGAACTTCTCTGTCACAATGGTATTTTAAAGCTGACAGAAATAGACTGCAAAGTGACACAAGGACAGATTTTGACACTGGCTCTGAATTTCAACTATGGAGCCTGCTTGAGAATGAACAAAAAAAGGCAGACAGGCAGAGTTACAAGCTGTAATGTAAAGTGTTTATCTACAGGTAACACTACAAAGGCAAATATCCAAAATGTCATAAACAACATTGCTGTAACTTTTAGATCAATTCTTTAGTCCTAGCATCTACTGTTGTCAAATAACACCGAAGAGTGAAGAAAAAAAGCTGCAGACCAACAAATGAACAAATAATTACCATTTCTTATCTTCTGCTACTTCAGAGAGCCAAAAATTCATTTTGAAAGTACAGTATCAGACCTCTAAAACTCTAACTTAGGGTTATATCTACTAAGGATTAATACAGCACAAGACTATATAGTTATATGCTTAAGTCTTCAATGCAAAGACATGTATTAGTATCAAGAGTTAAAAAAAACAACCAACATAGTCAAATAATTTTGGAAATCTTGGGTAAATAGCCCAAGATTGAAATGAAATGAAAGCTTTATGGAACATAAGACAAAACATTAAAAGAGTATTTTTTTAATATCCAGTAGTTTGTCCATCATATGGATTTAGATTTACCAAACCAAGAATTTGAAAACTCAGCTGATTGTGAACTCAAGCCTATTTGCTGTCCAAACAGGAGGGGGGGGAATAAACAAACAAACAAACAAACCACAACCAAAAACAGACAAACAAAAAACCCCTCGGTCACACTTTAACATTACATCTATCCAAAATTAGGATTGTTAACAGCAAAGTCTGTTAATTTATTTTTTTTAATGAATTTGATAGAAAGTTAAGATAAAACATTTTGGGTTTAGGTCAGAAAATGCAAATTCTCAGAACATAAACGAGGTAGCTTACTCTAAGATTTTGCTATGCTCACAACATCCTTATGCAAACAGCCAGACTTCTGAAAGTCATTCCCAAAAGATTTAATCTCCAAATATTCAGACACAGAGATGACTTTAAAACAAATGGTGATTTTATGTATACCCACACAACATTCACGGAAGACAGACACGGCAGAAAAGTTTAAAGCAGTTGGCTCTAGTATGAGAACCAGTCAGCCAAGCTGATATGGGACAGTGCCAAGTGTCCCACTCACATCATTATCCACTTTATTAAGATTATTCATATCCCACAGATTTACTGGTCAACATTACTCAAGTTAGCTTCTTAAATCTTTGCCTGAGTATGTTTGTATAACTTTACAGTCAATTAAATTTTACAGTCCATCATTTATGTAGATAGATTTTGTGAGTCTAAAGGAAAAAAAATAAAATTCAAGCTAATTTTTTTTTTAATTATACCTGCAGAATTTTTAACTACTTTTCTATGGTCTTGTAGTACATGAGCCGCATAGAGAATTTAGGCAATCAATAATTCTTTTGCTTTTGTCAGCTGAAGACAAACTACTAGAGCTAACATAGCTGAGTTAATTACAGTTTAAGTTACCAATTTCATTTTTTGCAATGCCACGGGAGCGAATGGGAAGATAAGTATAAGAAAAGATGTATATCGATATGCTCCTTGTAGCAACTATAATTTAATTGTATTGACTACAGAAATTTGGTAGTCACTTTAGTCACTTTCTGCAGAATGAAAATATTACGTTTTCCTAGAACAGTCAACAAACTATTCACGCAGCGAGAAACACTCCCAGGTACGCTCGACTTGATAGCAGCGGGGCTGCGCTGCGGCGATGGAACTTCAGCTGCGTTTGGGCTCGCTCTCCTTCTGGTCACATCGCTCACAGGTGCGCCGAGAGTTGAAACTGAGGGGGGCAACCGCAGCTGCCACCCCGCAGCCCTGCTTTGCGCTCCGAAGCTTCATTTTAGCCCACAGCGTGCGAACGCCAAATCCACCATTCATACAGAACAATTGTGAAAGTAATAAAAAAATTGAAAAGTACCAAGCAAACCCTCCTTTTTCCCCCCAGAGGGCCATTTCCAAAGCTGCAACTCCGCCAAGGGCCATCGCCTGGCCGTGCTTTCCCGGGGCTGTGACCGAGCGGGCAGGACTGCCCGGCAGCCGCGCCCGCAGCCCGGCACGGCGGGACCCGAGTGCCCGGGAGGGGAACGCGGAGACTGGGGCAGGACGGCGCGTTCTCCCCCGTCGCCGGGCAGGTCAATAGCGAAGCTCGGCGCCCGCCCCTCCTGCCACCGGTGGAGAAGGGCCCCCGGCCCCGGGGGCGGAGGGACCCGACGGCGCTGCTCCCCACCGTCGCCCCCGCGCTCCCGGTGCCGCCGGCGCAGGGAGTCAGGAGCGCCCCTTACCTGCCTCGCGTCCTGGGAAAAGTTTCCCGGCCGCCCGGGACAGGACAGGGACAGCCTGGAGCTGCCGCTCCTCGGCGCTGCCGGCAGCGCGTCCCACGACGGGCACGGAGCCGCGGCCGTGACTAAAATAGGCAGCGGCGGCGGGAGCTGCGGGCGGCGCCAGCGCCGGGCGGGCACCGACACCGACACCGAGCGGCCGCAGCGCGCAGGCGCCTCTGCCCGCCCCGGGGGGCTGCGGGCGGGGCGGGGGCGGGAGCGGCTCCGAGCCCCGCGGGGCTGCGAGCATCACCCCGGGCACCCCCTGCCCGCGTCGGGGCCTGTGCGTACCGAGCAGTGCCTGACCGAGGCGCCTAAAGCAGGTGGGGAGAGCCACCCCGCAGAGGTGCAGCCGTGCGCTGCAGGGTGAGCCCCGCGCCCGGGCAGCCTGCCCGGCTGTTGAGTGGTTAAAATTAGAAGAGCTGAATTCTCCCCTAAACGTGTGGCAAGCAGTATTGCCCCTACATGGAGCCACAGCAGCCCTTATAAAACTGCTCTTCTCAACTTGGCACCTGCGGTGGTTCTTTGTCACGAGCATGATGTTTAAGAGATGTCACCAAGTTTGCTCGTGTGGCAGTTTGACAGCTCCCAGAAACGACGTGCCTCCAAAGAGGGACGCTTGTGTCCCTGCACGTCGGCAGAAGGCTCCGCGGATGTCCTGTCTTGCCCCCTCCTGGACCACCGGTCTGGCAGGGCAGGCAAAATAGTCACCGAGCCTGCCCTCATCCCCAGGAGGTTGATGAGTAGCATCCAGTGATGAAAGACATTCCAGATACAGCCTATGGGCAGCCCATCCCATCCCAAAATCTGACTGTCAATGATAAATTAGGACTGCAAAGGCAAAAAAGCCCTTTCAGTACATTCTGATGAGCTAGCTACAAAGTGGGGTTATTTTTTCAGCAGCCAAGAACATATGGTCAGTATTATACCTAAATATATTTTTAAAAGTATACAGAATCCCGATTAATTTTTGAAGTAACTGTTTATACATGTACACATCAACATGTGCCCCAGGAAGCTCTACTTTTGGTTGTTCTTGGCTTTACACCTTGGAGAAGAGATCTGGATCTTTCCAGGTACGCGTGCATATGAACAGGGGTTTTTTGAATCTTGCTGCCTGATCTGATTTTCAAAAATATATTATGAAATGATTATAAAGGACTTGATTTGGGACTATGTTTCCTCTGACTGGCCAGCCATTTTTATGGATGTACTTGCTCTTTCCCGAAATATGCAGAAGAGTAAAAGAGCTGGAAAAAGGGTAGGAAGAGAGTCAGGATAGCATGGCTACAGGAATGGTCACAAGTGATTGCATCTAGCACGTGTTTGAGATTGACAGTATTCAGCTATGCTTGCTGGAGCAAAGCCAAGTAGCTTCCAAAAGCAGCACAAAGCAGAGCTCCTACCCCAATCTAAACTGACATGTAAGCATTTTCTAGCACAGTACTGAACATTATGCGTTGGAGAAGCACAGTTTGTTGTACCTTCCATAAAGTCTTCGTACTTCTCTGATTATCCTGCAGGTCTTCTCTAATTTTGGGCAAAGCCTTGGTGGTAAACAGCACCTGCTTAGCTCAATGCAAAAAATGTTAGTTAGGAAAGCTTGGCAATGAACTAGTATTTGCAGCCATGTGAGGGTGTAGAACTTTGTCCTGACTGCAGCTAGTCTCTTGGGATCTTTATATTTCAGTATATTTGTGATTAAATGCCATTTCCGCTCTGTAGCAGAGCAGTAAGAACCAAGACTACAGTAACTAATGTAAATGGTGGTATCTAGTACAGCTGTCAGTAGAAAGAGAGAAATGAGTGAGGATCTGAGAGCTGCCCCTATATGCTGTCTCTCCAGGAGGAGCAAAAGCAAATGGAGCATGTAGACATGGCTTTGATGGACTCTACCCACTTCTAGAAAAAAACCTTTAATAGAATCACTGGCATTATTTTATATAGGTAATAACACATAGTCCTAGGCAGATATTAATGGCCATGATTTTATATAACCTTTAGTTATACAATAAGACTAGATAATATTATCTATAGTTATACAGATAACAAACTTTCTCCAAGTAAAATATATTAAGTAGAGTTTCTCCTCTAAAAACAAGGTCTCATGTACCATGAGAGAACAGGCTGGTTTAATTAAATTAGTTTAATGTCCTACTGTTAAACCACAATAAAGACTGGCTTAACCTCCTATCTTTGTCAATAAAGTTCAAGTTCATTGAAGTGTGCTAATATAAATTGCTCTGTCAGAGGAAAGAAATAAAAACTGTTTGAATTTACATGGAATTGGCTTCAAAAAGACAGATCAGTTTTTAGAGATTTGTGTTGAATTGATGCATTTTGTTAGCGGAGACAGGTTTTAATGGTGTTACAGCTGTTCATTGATGCAGGCTTCCTCTCTTTCTTCTGCTATTAAAGTCTTGATAGCTTAGGTACTTTCTCAAATTATTTAGTTATTTTCCACAGTAGAAAATGTCACATGGGTGTTACAAATTGCTCAGTCTTGTTCCTTATCTCTAGCAACCAGCTTTGTGATCCTCAGCAGTTATACCCTGACCTCTTGCAGCCTGCCTGTTCTCCTGTATTTCAGGGAAAATATCATCCTACTGATGATGCAGGGATGTGTTGGAGGTATCAGGCAGGAGTTCAGAAGCACAGCTGAGACCAGAACCTCCCTCTCCTGCCTCTCAGTTTAGCCTAGCTGAGCATTGGAAGACTTCACTAAGAGGATGATAAAGTAACTTTTTGTAAAATTGCAAGCGCTCTGCCTCTTCCAAATGAGAGCCTGATTCCGTAGCCTTTTTTAGACAAAGTTTTCACTAAAGAGAAAAAATACTTTGTATTCAGGATCCCAGATGTGCCAGGATGACAGGGCTATTTTCAGACAATGGCAAGATCTATGAAACATTTCCATTTATAGTTTCAGGAAGCGTATTCAGCATCTACTCTAAACTAATCTTTTAAACTCCCTCTATAGACAATATAAGGGGGCTCTGTTGGAAAGTAATTAATCCTGCGTGTATTTGACAACTGTCTGGAGTGGGACAAAATACACTGGCAAATCCCATCCCAGTTGCTGAAATTATTTGTCATATAACTGAAAAATTACACGTATTTTCCACAGAAAGTTTATTTATATGGATTTTGCTTGAAAGCATCCTCAAGAATTATGTTTTCTTAGAAGGAAGTTTGTATGGCAGAGATTGTGAATGACAAATACTCTCTTGGCTTTCTAATATTCTGGAGGTTTATTTAAAAGGAATATGTGCATTCCATGCATTTTTAACTCAAGCCTCCAACAGACACTTTCTGATGTATTATCAGAAATAATACAATTCTTCCAGTGCAACACCTGCAGGGAGTGTGTCTCCTGTTAATACAAGACAGGCTGTCCTCTTGTTTGAATCCGAGGTAAAAAACACCATATCCCAGGGCTTCCAGGTATTTGATTTGATAGTATAGTAAATGATTGTTGCAAACTTAGAGCCAGGAGCCAACTTTCTTCTAAAATAATCTGTCTAAGCATGCAAGTTTTAACAGAAGCACTGGTTGTTGTAGATGTTTATCCAACGGGTACATGATCCTGAGGTATAAGGACAGAGTAAAATTGTTTGCTATTAAAATTATCTAAACTGTACAGAGTAAACAATTTATTCGATCACACTGAACAATTATCCCTGTTCCCAAATTATGCATGAGCGGTTCCCTGCTGACACTTTATTTTGTATGTTCATTATTTGAAATTGCTCAGTGAACGATTTCTATGAACTGCTTGCAAGTGATTTTTCTGGGACTTGATGGAAGGGCCTGCTCTGCTTGCTCTAGCTCTACTTAAATCACATGATTCCCCCCCAAAATAGGAGAGCTGATATAAAACAGGTTGGATTTCCTAAAGCAGGGTCATGATGCGCTTGTCACTGCCCTGCCAGGGCAGCTTGCTAACCGCATTGGGGAATAGCGGGGAGCCTGTCCTCTGGGGGTTGGCTTCTTTCTGGAAATACAGGAATACCAGAGATGCGGTTTGACTACATTGCTTGTCTGGAACTCAAATTGCTATCAACATGTCGCTCTCTGTTAATGTGAGGCAGCTCTTGCTTCACACAAAACTGAAAGACAAGTAATAGAGCCATGCTTTTGCATTGCATCTGTCCTCTCATCGGGTGACAGCCCATTTTTTAGGGGTCCCTGCTACAGCAGATTTGGCAGCACTGGGTGAACTGACTGTGATTTTTCTGTTCCCTTTTTGGACAACTTCCACGCGTAAAGAAAGTTCAAAATGATCATGCAGAGATATCTGTGCTAATCCTGAAATAAATCCGTTTCAACTGCAGCTCTCAAAGTTCTCTCTGCAGAGATCCTTGTGAATTTATATGGGTCTCTGTGACTGTCTTTATAAATCAAAGCAATTGCGAATATTGTTGGAGGACGAATGCATGCATGCTTTTGGGTGTTGGTACAATGACAATTAATGTTCTGTTGCAATATTAGTCCTTTTTGGCTCTACATTTCGATATTCAATGGTGGCTATTTTTGAGAAGCAAAGGCTAGGATTGAATCTCCAGGACATTGCATATTAGCACCATTATTAACAATTTTGTAGGAATTTTTAAAATTATTGATAAGGATTTAGAATTTTATTTAAAGATTAGAAAAGGAACAATATTAGAAATTAGAAAAAATTATTAGAAATTAGAAAAAATTAGAAAAAATAACAAGTGTTTAACACATCCAAAAGGACAGACAGAATGGAAAAAAAAAAAAAATCTAACTTAAAAACTTGAAGAAGGAGGACAAAGAGAAGTAGGGGGAGGCAGAAGATGAGTCTAAGGAATTATTTAAACAAGCGACAGAGAAAGCATGTAGGATTTGAGAGTGAAAACACTCCACAGTTTGAGGGGGAAGAAAAGGTAAATAGATTAGCTCAGAAGAACTTTGTATAGGCATGAGGTAGCTTTTATAGATACAATTTTTTTCTTTTCAAAAATACACAGAGAACAAGACTGGGGAGAAAAACACCAAGGAACACACTGGGGAAGAAAGTAAGCCAAAAGAAATATTAGGAACAAAAGTTTGAGAGCAAAAAGCAAACCAGGAATGCACAAGTTTGGTCCAAATGCACAGAAATGGGTTGATCTAG